ATATATATATTACGTATATAACTTATCTAAATAATAATATACCTACTTATCTAAATAATAATATACCTTACAATAGTAGACTAGTAGACAGGTCTAATATAGATTTTATTTGAAGTAAAACATTTCAACATACATAATGTTGGATTTTTAACAAGAATTTTTTTTTTACAAGACCTCCAGATAATTTATATGATGAAATATACATTTCAAAAGCCAAATTCAATAATTCAATAAAATTTCTTTTTATAATAGCATTACTCATTTGAACTCAAAGTAATAATAAATAATTCCTATTTTTTAATTCACACTATTTAGCATTTAATCTAACTCTAAATCAATTTCATTCGGAATGCGTCTATGAGAACGATACTTACGCACAGCATATTCTGCTACTCGGCCAGTAAGTTCACATCTATAAGCATCCATATAACACCATGCCTTCTGTGCAAAACGACGTATGGTTATGAGTGATACAGTATCAAGTGCTTCAGGCACAGTAACTTGTAAACGTGCCCATAAATAATCGCAATGATCACGTGAATAATGTTTTGCAGCGTCCCAGTATTGCTCAATGAAATTCAACTCACAATGAAACTTGGGATAAAATATACCAACATGTCCTCAGTCAACAATAAGTTCTTTTAATGCTGATTTTTGCATAGTAAAATCAGGTTGTGCAGACAAAAGATGACGTGCACAACAATTAGGTGTATTTGAATCATAATAGTTATTTTCACATTTTAGTCTTAAACCACTAGTAGGCCATAAATTGCGTTCAAGAAGTACTTGACAAATTCCTTTTGGTTGATTGCGAAAGACATAATTAGGATCATCAGAAGGAAGGTCTTTAGGAAAAATCATTGACTGAGTAACTTGTTCATCTTGTGTATTAATAAACCAGCTGTCACGTAATCTTGACTGTTTACTACCAGGGTAAAAGTTCATTTATTTAGCACATAATGCATCACTTGCAAAAGCACTATGGTTGGTACTGTTATCAAATGCAAAGACACCAACGCAGTTTGGATGAATTGCTTCGAAAATAGGAATTGTTTTATTAGCTACTTGTGTAAGCAAATCTGAAGCATTCCACCAACCATCATCATGTTTTCCTGGTTTGATAATTTCGTGAGCCTCTTGTGGAAATGTTGATGGTAGGTTTAATTCATTTATTTCTGCGGAAGTAATTGTAAGGTGACTACAAGTTTCAGTTAAAAATTCTGAAATCATAAGTGATTTACCTATTCCCTTTTTGCGTAATGGCAGCATACCAAGAGGAGCCTATACTGAAGGATGACCATCATTAGCATAGAATGTACACTCATCGTGAGTAACAAAAATATACATTTTTTCTCCTTTACTTAATTCAGGATTTATAACTATTTCCATGTTTTCGCCAACAAATTGTGGCATTAATTGTTCAAAATTTTTCATTCTTTCAAGAAATACAGCACGATATTGTACAATATCAGGATGCTTATGTCCATCATAATAAACTCCTTGTTGATGTGATTGATATACAAGGCCAAGATGATGAAGCCAAGTTCGAGCTGTTTCTAATGAAATTGATGTGTGAAAGCTAGTAATATGAGGTAAAATATTGTTCTTAACATAAATTTGAAATTTTTCAGCAGTTATCCTTTCACCAATAGTACGGATAAAATGTAAGCAAGAGCTTTGTATGTCTTCGTCATCAATAAGTGCTGATATGTACTTTCATTGTCCTTGTCTAGAGGCAGGTATAGTCCCTGATACTATCCAACTTTTTGACCACTCACGAATACGACACGCCATCCATGGACCACATTGGAAGACCTGTTGTGATATTTCAAGACTTAATTCTATACGAGATTGTGGCTTTTCATAGTCAAAAAAATTGGTAAAATATTTATGAACAGCTAGATGGCGAAGGTATTCATAAGCATTCATATGCTTCATATTATTAAGTGTGTTATTTAATT